ATATCGTTCATAGATGCATGATACCCTGACATAATTTCAACACTGGATTGATCTCTTTGATGTCGACGTGGTTCATAGTCACGGTTTTGCGCTTAGTAACATTGGGCACACATCTAAACGTGCGCAAAGATAAATACTCAAAAAGAAAAAACCGTTTATCTGCAGGAAAAGCTGGATCGCCGAAGATAACAATGTTATAAATTCTGCATATTATTTATTCAAGTAACGCAAGCTACCTGCTTTCAGCAACGCTTCGTGTTGCTTACCAAAAGTGACAAACGGCTTAGTTACATTTTTTTCATTCTTTTATTTTTCTAATCTGACATTTCTGTTATATAGGCTTAAGATTTTCTTTCCAAATTTACTGTTCAATTTCTTGTCCCGGCCATATTTGAAGACATTTCTTCTCATTTGATTACTGTAAAACTTTGCAATCACATATCTTGAGGAAGTTCAATATTTGCCTGTGTCGTTGAAGGCGTCAAAAAAGTGTCAAACATTTATTATTTACTTGTTGAAGTTGNCCATATGCCTCATGTCGACTCATGGTTAAATAATTCAGACCCCGTACACTGAGTAAACGACTCGAATGACGTCTTAGGTCAGGAGGTCACCTGATATGTCGTTATGTTACTTTTCCCCGGTTTCACATTACACGCGTAACGCCGTATTGAACATCACGGCATTTAGTTGAGTTACGGTATTCAAAATCTTTTTAACGAGACATTTCGATTTAAACAGAAAATTGAAAAAGCAACATTTTGACATAATTGTTAGCTTCTAAGATATCGTTCATAGATGCATGATGCCCTGACATAATTTCAACACTGGATTGATCTCTTTGATGTCAACGTGATTCATAGTCAGGGTTTTGCGCTTAGTAACATTTGGCACACATCTAACCGTGCGCAAAGATAAATACTCAAAAATAAAAAACCGTTTATCTGCAGGAAAAGCTGGATCACCGAAGATAACAATGTTATAAATTGTGCATATTATTTATTCAAGTAACGCAAGCTACCTGCTTTCAGTAACGCTTCGTGTTGCTTACCAAAAGTGACAAACGTACTCTATGTAAATAAAGGCTTAGTTACACTTTTTTCATTCTTTTATTTTTCTAGTGTGAAATTTCTGTTATATAGGCTTAAGATTTTCTTTCCAAATTTACCGTTCAATTTCTTGTCCCGGCCATATTTGAAGACATTCCTTCTCATTTGATTACTGTAAAACTTTGCAATCACATATCTTGAGGAAGTTCAATATTTGCCTGTGTCGTTGAAGGCGTCAAAAAAGTGTCAAACATTTATTATTTACTTGTTGAAGTTGCACTCTTAATAGTTTTAAGATGTGCTTGTTAATACAAATCAAACATGTTCACTTCCTTATAAAGTTATTGCGATATCTGTCAAGAGCAGCATGACATTTTGTGTGAAAAGTTAAACAAACATTCAATACATGATCCTCAGTTACTGCAGCACAGAGTTCATCCGTTTTAATGCTAATATGGCTAATAAAGTTTCCATATAACGCGCGCTCTGATTGGCTGAAAGAGCGTGCTTTATCAGAGAACAGAGCACG